CAGGGAGCCCGATGCGGGGCTCGATCCCAGGACCCTGGGATCATGACCTGAGCCGAAGGCAGACACTTAATGACTGAGCCACCCAGGCGCCCCTAGACTTTTTTTTTAAACTTTGGAGATTCATTAGACACTTTAATTCTCCAATCAGAGTCTTAATTTCTCTGTTTCTCATCTTGAAGCCAAGCCTGTTTGCTACTTGTGACACCTCTACTAGAATACAGGCAAGAGAATGAGAATACAGGCAGTTTCATTTTTCCTTCTTGCTAATACTGCTGATTTAAAATCAAATAAATGTTCTTGGATAAGGAGAAAGTTGAATTTACTGGACCTGTGGTCTTTTTCTTTGTTAGTATGGCAAGTGAGAGCTAAAATTAGAGCAAAACTGTATTTTGAAGTTGCGTATATGTTTAACAATGGATTATAGTTATACCTTGATAGTTAGTGGGTGTGCCTGGTGCAGAATGCCCATTTTCAACGGTTGTTTCCTCTGATTGGGTCACATGGATATACTATAGAGTTACAACAGTTTTCTGTTATTTTTAGGTACTCCGATTCAAAATTCTTTAAAGGACTTGTGGTCTCTTCTTTCCTTTTTAAAACTTAAACCATTTCTTGATAGAGAATGGTGGCATAGAACAATACAGCGTCCTGTCACAATGGGAGATGAAGGAGGACTTAGGTAAGTAATTTCATGAAAACTGATTAAAATTAGCAACAAATAACTGTAAGCAGCTTGAACCAGTTATCACTTTGATTACTATTTTAACTTCACTGTTGTCTTTCTTCTCCCAAGAGCATTTATAGCTTAATGCCTTTGGCTCTTAGAACCTAGTGATTCTTGTTTGGGGAGACACTGCAAGTAAAACATAAGCCTTCCCTTTCTTTGATTTTAGTCAAACTGAAAGGAAAGGCAGAGCTTTATGGTCTTTGTGTGTTGCTATTGCCCTCAAAATCACCATTAATTGATTAAACAATGACAGGAAAAACTGTATGCCCTGAGGATCTAATATGCATTAAATTTTCACAACTTACCTTATGTAGCTTTATATAGTGATACTTGAGTGATATGACATACACTGGCATCAGCAAAAGTTTAAGAAAGGAAGTTCTTTCTCATGGAGACAGATAAATGAAATTCAGCTTAGTGATAGCCATTTCACAGGGTACTAGGCTAATATGTGGCTTAAGGTTTTTGCCTAGAGCAGTGGTTTTTTAGAGTTTGGGATCCATTAGGTTGTGAAATCCTTATAAAGATGGCATCTAGCATTATAAAAGAAAATGAAATAGAGTTGAAGATTTAAAGAAATTTAAATCTTCACACATAGTAAGTACTGTTTTGTGAAAGGTTTCTGTCGTATGTGTATGTGTTTTGATAATATACGTTTGCTGGATGGAATAAAATGTGTTTCTTACTGTGGTTACAGTGAAAAAGGTTCAAAAGCCACCAACCTAGTTTGTAAAACTGCTTGATTCTCAGAACCAGCTATGTAAATTCTAATTTAAGAAATTGTATTTATATTTCAGTGTCAGGAAAAATCTTTCCTTAAAAACCTTTCTTTCCTTAAAGAATTGATGTGCCTCCTTTTTTTCTGATACTGAGAAGGGAGTGTGAAGGTTGTAGAACCTAGACGGCATATCTCCCTCTTCTGAATAGTCACATCATGTTTTCATTTTTTTGGCATCTTTACTTTGTAAAAATTACTTATTTTTGTACCTTGATTTTCATATTACTGAAAAATCTTTTTGAAGGTAAGATCTTTCCTCACATTTATAGTTTTATGTTAGTATAATGCCTTTTACTTTGTGTACATACTTAAGAATGTGAATGTTGAATATTGGGTGATGTAGTTGACAGAAGTGAGAAGTAAAAAAATTAGTGAATAGAAGAAAAATGGGGAGAAGTTAAGAAAAAGACAGGATAAAAGAAGATTAAACTGTGACAGGTATTGAATTGAGGGCAATGAATGCATTATTATAATTTTCTATTGGTAGAATATGTCTGATTATCAGATTGTATAGAACTCAAAACAAAGAGATTTTTTAAAGAAAAACCTTTACTTTGATTCTAAAATAGTAATATATTAAAATACTCTTTTTTTGTTCTTGTTGAATCAACTTATATAGAAATAAAAAGTTATGTAATTCTTTGTTTTGTTTTGACTTAGGCGTTTACAATCCCTAATTAAAAATATTACCCTAAGAAGAACAAAGACAAGCAAAATTAAAGGAAAACCTGTTTTGGAGTTACCAGAACGTAAAGTATTTATTCAGCACATTACACTTTCAGATGAAGAGAGAAAAATTTATCAGTCTGTGAAAAATGAAGGCAGAGCTACTATTGGAAGGTATGGAAAAAAGAAAGCCATTTTAGGAAATAATTTTTATTTTCTTTCCTGTTTAACTAAAGTATTTCTTAGAAATGTTAGGAAAGTCTGAAGTATACTGAAAGATAACTTGCTTCTTTATTTAAATTCCTTTTTACAAATTAGTTGAAGTAAATGAAATAGTATTGTAATTTACAGGTAAGTTATTCCTTAAGTTAGGAAACAAAAGTTTACATGAAATGGCAAGTTCTGAGTGGCTAGTCAGAAGACCTTCCTTGCTTCTATTCCTGGCTCTTTATCATGGGAATAGATAAAAACATTGAGAGAAGTGTGTATATATATATAGTGAGAGATAATAAACCTATTTAAGGAACAAAACTTTGGGGAATGTCCGTATTTAAGAAATAGGGAAATAAAGAGAAATTACTGTAGAAGATTCTGTCAAGAACAGAATTAGGAAAAAAAATGTAAAGAAAACTGTTGGAGAATCCCATGAAAGCATAATCATGAAAGAGGGAATGGTCAGTAGTTTCATGTGATGCAGAGACTTAGAAAAGCTGTTTAATTTGGTGATTCAGAAGTTACCAGTCTAAACTCTTAGCATAGTTTCACCAGAATACTGAGGTGTGTACCAAATTGTAGGAGTAAGGGAATTTCAAAGAAGTAGCAGCTGTAGGTAGGGGTAGACCTTTTTTCATGATGTTTGCAAAAGGAAGAAGAAAGTGAGACTGGTACATAGGATTGATAGTTGTTGCTCTGTCAATTTTTTGCATTTTCTTTGGGTTAACTGCCTTGAGAAGAGAGCATAGAAGAGACTACAGATAGAGAAGAGAATAAAGCCAGTTGGTGGAGAAAATGAAGCCTAGTGGGGGGTAAAGAGTAGTCAGTGAAAAATGAGACAAGGGTATCTGCAGGGAAAGGTGTAGTGGGAAATTGAGGAAGATAGCAGGATTAACAGCCGTTCTAAAAAGTTGTGAGGTTCTTAGTGTGGTAGATAGGCTTGATGTAGAATTGGATACATGTAGAAGTCAGTATGACTTTCCAAACAACACATGAAATCTGGGAATAGGAACTAATGAAGCAGATAATAAAGGGATCGGGGATTGGTAGAAGGTGAGAAATTCTAGTCCAAGCGAGAACATATTTGATGTCAGTGCCCATGGGACCAGAATGAGTAGGAGACAGTGAAGGCAGAACTGTGTTGAGAAAATAGGGGAATCTTCAAATTCAGGCACTTCATTGAAATACAGAGCAGGTTTAACAGAAATTAGAGAGATTGAAAAAGATTGTTCTTACTAAGCAAGTGATTTCTTAGTTCAAAATCTTGCAGTGGTGATTGAAATTTCTTTCATATTCATTCTTTGAACCAAAATTTAATATGTGCCTGTGTAACACATACTGGGGTATAGCATAATAAAATAGATAAAAATCTCCACCCTCAAGGAGTTTATATTTTAATGCAGGGAACAATTTTAAAAAATTAAATTTGGTGGAAAAAAAATTAAAGCCGAGAAAGGGGATAGGGAGTGCTGAAACTGTTTTAATAGGGTATTCACTGAAGACCTTACTGAGAAGGTTCTATGTGGGAAAAGATCTAAAAGAGAATGGAGTTAGGAGATATTTCAGGCAGAGGGAACAGCAAATGTAAACCCCTGAGTTGAAAGAATATTTGGTGAGCTTGAAGAACACAAAGAGTTAAGTGTGGCTGGATAATATGAGCAAGATTTCATGATGGAGTGCGATCAGTATCCTTGCTCCTAATTTTTATTTGCTCTATGGCAACACTTTTTGGTGAGTTTTCTTTCACTGCCATTTATTCCTCCCTTGCTCTTTGCTGATTATTACTTATATTTGAATGTCTTGAGTTCTTTCTGGCCTAGCTATTTGCAGGAGGTTAATATGAACGGGGGGAGGGGGCATTCTGTGTCCCAGACTGGTAGGAAGTATCCCTATTTAATTATGACTCAGGGTTATATCTGAGTTGTTTTAAGTTTTATTTGTGCTTACACAACAAAGATCGGAAGCTGTAGGGTTCCTTATAATGTGGAATCTTGTGCCCATAATCTTTTCTGAAAACACAGTAGGTCTATTGTGTTTCCTTATTTAGCTTGCCTTCTTTCCTTTGTATAAAACTTGTCCATGCAAGTTCAGATCACAGCCATGCACCCTGTTTTTGTTTTTGCACAAGAAAGATCTTGATTTTCCCCTCAGGGCTTGCTATGTATTTTGAAGAATTGTGCTCTGGCAGGTCTGTTTGAGATCTGTAGTCCTATCTCTCAGCATCTTCCTATTCAACTTCTATTGCAATTGGCAGCCATTTCTCATATATTTTGCTTTATGGTTACAAATCTCTTGTGGTTTCATTAAAGGTAGTTTTGAAGTGATTTTCAGAGAAGAAAAGAACAATGCCATTTTTATTCCACTGTTTTAGAATCGGGAATAATATTGTTTAGAGGTCTTCATAATACTTAGCATTTTTTACCACTAGGTATTTTAATGAAGGGACTGTCCTTGCGCACTATGCAGATGTCCTGGGTCTTTTGCTTAGATTGCGGCAGATTTGTTGTCATACTCACCTTCTTACAAACACAGTGTCTTCCAGTGGTCCCTCAGGTAAGTAGATGTGATTTGTTTACACTGTTGTATTTGTTAGGGATATTTAAATCAGAATGAAATTTTTCATATGGCCTATAGTGTCTTATTTGTCAAATGGACATTGTTTTTAGAATGGGACACCAGTGGAATATACTTACAAATTCTTACCAATGAAATGGAATAATAGTGATGTCTTCCAGTATTTCCAGTGATAGATACTCTTAGATGGTCATTTCAAATTGGATCTGCCTTTTATTCTGTGGTAGTATGTGCAGATTGTGATGATGCTTTTGTGTAAAGTATATTATGTGGGTTAGCTACTATTTTAGCTCTGAATTTTCTTTAAATTAATTTTTTTTTTTAGATTTTATTTATTTGACAGACACAGCGAGAGAGGGAACACAAGCAGGGGGAGTGAGGGAGGGAGAAGCAGGCTTCCCGCTGAGCAGGGAGCCTGATGTGGGGCTCGATCCCAGGACCCCGGGATCATGACCTGAGCTGAAGGCAGACGCCCAACGACTGAGCCACCCAGGCCCCCCTGAATTTTCTTTAAATTTAAATCATGCTTGTTTCCTGTGATAGAAAAAGCCTAAATAAAGACTACCCAAGCAAAACTTTTCCCTTTATAAGAAGATTAACTTGTCTAGTCATATTACAGATCTTGCTGTGAAATTAATTTTTCAGCCTTTTCTCTAGGAAATGATACACCTGAAGAACTACGAAAGAAGTTAATAAGGAAGATGAAGTTAATTCTGAGCTCAGGTTCTGATGAAGAATGTGCAATTTGCTTGGATTCTTTAACAGTTCCTGTCATAACACATTGTGCACATGTCTTTTGTAAACCCTGTATTTGCCAAGTCATTCAGAATGAGCAGGTTAGTTTCGTGCTAGGTACAGATTCAGTGTTTGATGGAGTGGTACACTAGTCAGTCTTGAGTGTAATGAAACCCAAGTCCAACAGACTATTAAGAGTTTTGCACTTGGATTTACTAGTGCACGTTTTATCTTCAGTTATGTATGTCAGTGTTTCATAGTGATATTTCTTACAATTAAGCCCTTTTAAACATAAGAAGACAGTACACTTTTAGAGGCATGATCAGTCAATATCCTAGTTCTTTTGTTGAGATCATTGCTGTCTAGTAGATAAAAAAATGTGAGACACAAAGGTAATTTTAAATTTTCTAGTAGAAATAGATGAAGTTAATGAATTTTTATTTATCCACTATGTCTAAAATATAAGAATTACTGAGATAATTTACATGATTTTTTAACTTCTGTAGTTCTGTAGTTTAACCTCTGTAGTTCAGACCCATGTTCAAGGGCAAATTGTTCAAAGTCTGGTGGTATTGTACACATACAGCACATCTCACTTTGGCTTTGCCACAGTTCATGGGCTTAATTGCCATGTTTATTTATTGGCTGTTAGATAAGGTAAGCCTGGATTCTTATGTAAGGTAGAATTTTTTGAAGTGGAATAATCCTTTAAGCAGTTCTTCAGCTGAGGTAGAGTTTTGTTTTGTTTACATTTTCATTGGTATAATATAGAAAAAAAATGCACAAGTCATGGTTGTACAGTTGAGTGAATTATGAAGTAAACACAATCATGTAACTCTTACCCTGGTCTTTTTGTGTCCCCTTCCAATCAGTTACCTTCTCCCTCCTCCCTAAAGGTAACCCCACCATACTGACTTTAAACATTCTATCAGTTTCAGAATTTTTTTTTTGTAATGGTATTTGGTATATAGTTATTTAGGAGAGATTTTATTAGCATGTCTTGGTACGAATGGACACAACAAATATTGCTTTGAATGAGCCTGATAGGATTTAACAGGTCAAGACTAGCTTTATAAGCCATTCAGATGGAAATTTTTTTTCTTCTAAAGGACAGTTCCAACTAGTGTGCTGTATTGTAGTTAGGTTCAAGATACTGTTATTCATGATTTCTTTACTTGTCTGCAAATAGTACAGTTCACCCTGAACAGTTGCAGGGGCTAGGGGTGCTGACCCCCCTGTGCAGTTGAAAATCTGCATATCACTTTTGACTCCTATAAACTTAACTACTAATCACCTACTGTTGACCAGAGCCTTACCGATAACATAAACAGTTAACACATATTTTTGTTACATATTATATGTAGTATTCTTTTTAAAGTTTTTAAGTAATCTCTACACCTAATGTGGGGCTCACAGTCATGACCCCAAGATCAAGAATTGCATGCTCCTACAACTAAGCCAGCCCGGCGCCCCTATATGTGGTATTCTTTCAGTAAAGTAAGCTAGAGAAAATAACAAAATCATAAGAGAATATCCATTTATAGTACTGTACTGTATTTATTGGGAAAAAAAATCCTCAAATAAGTGGACCTCTGTAGTTCAGACCCATGTTCAAGGGCAAATTGTATTATACTTGTTTCAAGCTCCTGCTGTTAGTCAAGATCACATACCATACTTTTGCTCCCTTTTTTACCCAGTCCCACTTAACAAGGTGGAGTTCAGCTTATACAGATTTATCTCAAATGGATGACTCTAATATGTCTAATAAAATGCTAGCTATTAAGGTTTTAGAATTTTACCATACTTTTTAAAAATTTTAGGTAAATTTATATTTTTTCCTCATAAACTTCACTTACCTTATTCTTTCTTATATAGCCACATGCTAAATGTCCTTTATGCAGAAATGATATACATGGAGACAATTTATTAGAATGTCCTCCAGAAGAATTGGAGTGTGACACTGAGAAAAAGTCTACTATGGAATGGACATCCAGTTCAAAGGTAAAATACACATGGGCAAATATTTGAGTATTTGTTTTACATTTATATATGGATACCATGTCTTAAAATAATTCTGCTTTTAATCCTGTCATTTGAATATTTTTATTTCTAGCGGTGAATTTGAGAGGAAAGGAGCTTCAGTTTATGAGTGCATTCTTTCAATCTTAATTTTTAAAAACATTAGTTGTCTTTTACTTTTCATTTTAGGGAAGTAATGGGGCAGGAACATTCTTTTCCTAATTAAAAAAAGTTGTATATATTTTGCCCATTCAAAATGGAAGCTAATGGGTGTCCTGATTTTTTTTTTTTTTTTCAGATTAATGCTCTAATGCATGCACTGATTGACTTAAGAAAGAAGAACCCCAACATAAAAAGTTTAGTTGTTTCTCAGTTCACAACATTCCTGTCTTTAATAGAAACACCACTCAGGTAAATTTAGTATTGATTCTCACTTTGAGTAAAAGGATTTTATGTAAGTGTTTTGATTTGGATGGCAAAAAATAATATGTTTTACCAGTTATATTCATTTCATCTACCTAAAATGAGAGTCACAATACAGAATATTTCCTGGGAGCATAGGATTTAAAGATTTAGTCCTGAATTTATCAGAAAAAAAGTTGACTGCAGAGCATGACACATTAGTAGATGGTTAGATTTGTGAAAATAAATGAGTAGAAGAATTGGTTGAATGAAGAGATTTGTAATTACTTAACATGTTTTTAAATTGTATGGAAAGTGTTACTTATCTTTTTTGTCCCTCCATTAGAGCCTCTGGATTTGTGTTTACTCGTTTGGATGGTTCCATGGCACAGAAGAAAAGAGTTGAATCAATTCAGTGTTTTCAAAACACTGAAGCAGGATCTCCAACTATAATGCTTCTATCCTTAAAAGCAGGTGGAGTTGGTTTGAATCTTTCCGCAGCTTCTCGAGTGTTTTTAATGGATCCAGTAAGTAGTTCTGTAGACTTTTTGGTGTGTTATTAAACTTAAAAAAAAAAAAACAAAACTATTTGGTAAATACCTTCCTAGTTATAACTGATTGTGAAAATTCTTAGGCAAACTTTAAAATTAGTTAATAACTCAGTAAATGTGTATCGAGGGCTTTCTTTTAAGTGCTTTATATGTATTAACAAATTCTCACGGTATCCCTAGGATATCCCTGTGATGGATCCTTATGAGGTTTTATTACTGTCCTTATTTTATAGGTGAGGAAACTGAAGCACAGACAAGTAAAATAACTTGCCCAACATCATGCAATAATACGCAGACCAGGATTCCATGTTCTTAATTTCTGTGCTGTGGTTTTCTACTTCTATATATAGAATTAGTTTCTGTTAACTGTAATGCTTTAGTGTAGTGGTTTGGCCAACAAATGATCCTACATTGTGTCAGGGAGTCTTACATGCACCCGGGATCTGGCTATAAACATAGGTAGACAAAGTAGCTACCATCATGATGTTAATGGTCTCAAGTTTTAATGTGCAAAGAATTAGGTAAAATGTAATTTCTCACCTCTGTCCTCAGAGATTAAGGAGTTCTTGGAGACCCAGGAGGCTGCATTTTTATATAGATCATAGGTGATTCAGGTGCAGGTGGTCCATCATCACAGTTTTAGAAATTAATACCGTATCGCTTCTCGGCCTTTTGGCTAAGATCAAGTGTAGAAACTAATACCGTTAATGGAATATTTTGGATAAATTTTAGCATGTAATACAGTACAGTCACTTGTAGTTGTACAGTATAGACCTAGCTGTAGAGTTGGAGCTAAAATTCACTCTGAACTTTACTCACCAAACTGTGACCTAAGAGAAGCATGCATAGAGGAGCGGCACCTTTTTCTAATTGCACAAAGAGCTGTAGGCACTCTGGACTAATTCAGTTTCTAATTTGCACTGGGTTACCGTCAGGGCTAGAGGCAACCCTATTTGCTATTTCTGTGATTCATAGATAGAAGATTTGTAGTTTTAGCTTGTTACCTGAAATTCAGAAAATTTCATAACAAAAGTTCACTGAGATACAAATTTGAGTTATTCTGGTTAGGCTATCTAGTTTATAGATATATCTGTTACCAAGGCTTTTTCGTCACCTGAGGGTAACCTCCACAGTAAAATACCAACCAGAACCATATTTTGACATTCACAGATTTCACATTAATGTTATGGATGGCAGTGGTCTGTTGTATTTTCTTGCCTTAGTTCTGTGGATGAAGTTTTAAATCTTTGCTAGAGTTTTAATATTTTATGGTTATTATAAAAAACAGTCATTGTAATCGCATATTGTTATATTAACTAACATGATAATCTTAGATGATGATTTTTTGACAAATTCCCAAATTATTTGCTGCTTTTGTTGTAATCTTAGTATCTGATAGAGAAGGTTGTTGATACGAAATATAGTATTATAAAGCTGATCACAGACTATACTCTTTAGTAATTAAAAAAAAAACTTTAGTAATTTAAAAAAACTTCTAGAATGTTTTAGCAGTTCATAGTAAATTGTTTTTCATTGAACATTTCAAATATTTCTAACTTTAAAATGAAAGCCAGGTCCCAGGAAAATAAGATTGAATCAAAAAATGTTTACTCATGAAAATATTTTACGTTTTCATGGAATGCTGCATTAGAGTTAAGATGTATTTTAAATGTTCGATTTTGGGCTTTTGATAAAGCTAATTACCTTCCTTCATCAGTACTGGTGAAAATGGAAGCTGTCAGTTTTATATTATCATGAGATAAATTTGATCCCAGGTAGGGGTGCCTAGGTAGCTCAGTTGGTTAAGCATCCTACTCGATCTCAGCTCAGGTCTTGATCTCAGGGTTGTGAGTTCAAGCCCCGTGTTGGGTTCCACGCTGGCCATGGAGCCTACTTTAAAAAAAAAAAAAAATTGACTCTTGGTAGTCATACTAGATGTATACTGTCAGCTCACTAGAAGGTTCCTAGATAAAACAGAGACAACAGAAAGGAACATTTATTTACATGGGCTCTTGGTATAATGGTTTCAAAATGTATCCAATCGTGAAATACAGAATATGCATAAAATGTGATTATCAGTTTTAGAAAATCATAAGCTAAGTATATTCTTAAAATCTGACTTCTATATGAAATATCACCCAATACTCAAATTACAACAATAGTAAAATCTCCTTTTCCCTAGAGCTCATGGGAACTTTATTTTTTAATTTATTTTTAATTATTATTTTTTTTTTGAAAGAGAGTATGAGCCAGGGGTTGGGGGAGGCTCTATGCCCAACACAGAGCCGGATGTGGGGCCCAATTTCACAACCCTGAGATCATGACCCAAGTCAAAATCAAGAGTCAGATGCCTAACCAACTGAGCCACCCAGGTGCCCCATCAAAGGAACTTTAAATAGAAAATAACAGCCTGAGGATGAGTCATACTATAAACTTGTCATTTACATATGCATTTGCTATTTTGTTTCATTTTCAGGTAGTTTTGCTGTATAGTTTCTTTTGCCCTAAACACCTTTTAAGAATCATCCCATAGTTTAAAATTTAATGTTCCCTACTCTGATAGTTCATAATAGTATTTCCCAACCACTTGACTCCTATCTTTCTTTTTTTTTTTTT